CTGTGTATCAGAGACTGTGCACTGGGATTACAAGACTGAATTGATACAGGAACACACTGACTAAGTGCTCACCCTTGGTGGGGGATTTGAGGCTGGTTTGTTACGATTTGGTGAGAAGCGTAGTGACAGCAATTTGTTCAGAAGGCTGTGATAATAGAGAGGAGAGTGGTACCTCACCCAGACTGGTAGTGGTGGGAAAGCAGCTCAGAGGCTGAGAATGGAGGCAGGAGGAAGGATCAGGCAGGTGGCTGGTGGGACAGGGGAGACACAGGGGAGCAATTACGCTCAGGCAGAAGGAATGCCAGGTGCAGAGACCCCGAAGGCAAAAGAGGTCATCACACTCTGGAAATTGCTGGTAGTTCAGTTTGTCTGAAGCGTAGAGTAGGAGTGGAGAGCGAAGGATGACTACAGAGTGGGGACCAGTAGCAGGTGCCAGTTTATGAAGAGCCTTCTCAGCCATTTTAAAGGATCTGCCCTGTATTGTCCTTGTGATGGGAATGACAGAGCCAGATTTTCATACTCTGGAAATTGCTGGTAGTTCAGTTTGTCTGAAGCGTAGAGTAGGAGTGGAGAGCGAAGGGTGACTACAGAGTGGGGACCAGTAGCAGGTGCCAGTTTAGGAAGAGCCTTCTCAGCCATTTTAAAGGATCTGCCCTGTATTGTCCTTGTGATGGGAATGACAGAGCCAGATTTTCATTTTAGAAAGAGTTCTCTGAACTTTGTTACTGAGACTGTAATCCGTGGCCCAGCAGCATCACTCATAGGTACTGAATTAAGAGCCTCAGGCTATTCGTACGCTCGGTTCCGTCTGAGAAGCACTGCTTTAGAGGGCAGCGTGGAAGAGAGACAGGTGCAGAGCTCTAAAAAGAGCTCATTGAAGAGCTCCACTGTTCTTGCAGCTGTAACATACTGTGAGTACTCTAGTACTGCTGAAGACCTCCCCCAAGTCTACATGGCTCTGTTTCCACGATCATCCCTCCTGCTTTGCCTTATTGTGAATCATGGGGCATTTAGGCGGTGTGCCCCTGTGAGCGTCACCACTGTCTACCCTAGAGAATGAGAAACTGACCACACATTCCTGAGTTCCATTTGAGGTTTGCTCCTTCCCCAGCATCATTTCTTGCTAAAGCCTCCTTTCTTCTCTTTTACAGTCTCATGAGCACAGTCAGTACATGCTGTGATTCTGTTAAATCTCTCTCCCTGCCCCCTTCCCCTGTGACCCAAGCAGAGTTAAACAGTAACTTAACTAATTGTTTTCTTGCCGGTATCTACTAGAAACTGACCCTTTTGGGGGCAGGGACCACATCTTTCTTATTTCAGTGTCTAATAAGTAAGATCATCATGCCTGGTCCAAAGTAAGCATTCCATAAAGGATTTTTGATGGAATGAATGAATGGAATTTAACCATTCAAACCCTGCCCTGATCTGAAAGGAGAGCCTCATTTATAATTTTTCTCATTGTATCAGTTGGCTATTTCTGTGTAACAGATAACCCCACAACTTAGTGGCTTACAACAGCAATTCTTAAGATGTGATCCCTGTACCAGAAGCATCACCTGGGAACTTTCTAGAAATGCAGATTCTTGGGCCCCATCACAGACAACTGGATTAAAAGCTCTGGGGTGGGGCTTAGCAGTCTCTGTGTTAATAAGCCATCCAGGCGCTTCCATGCTGGCTCAAGTTTGAAAAGCACTCGGTTAAAGCTATCGCCATTTATTTAGCCCATGATTCTGTGGGTGGCAATTTAGGCTGGGGTCAGCTGGACTCCATCTAATTTGTCCTCAGCCGTTAGATGCCTTTGCTGCTCTTGGCTGGCTGGCTCATGCTGGGGCTTCAGCTGGGACAGTGAGCTGATGTGGCTCTCTCCTCCATGGGCTCTTGTTCTCCAGCAGGCTAGCGTGGGCCAGCTCTCAAGGCCTTGCCTTGGAAATGGCACACCATCACTTCTCCTGCGTTCTCTTGGCCATAGTAACTCACACAGGTAGCTCAAGTTCAAGAGTAGGAAATTAGACTTTATCTCCAGGTATTGCTAAGGCAGTTGTCAGAATCCTGCAGATGTAGCCAACTGTATTGCTAGGGCTAGGGCTCACAGAGAGACCCTTCAAACCCATTGTACAGACTGGGTCACCAGACCCCTCACACCCAGGTCCATGAACCAGGTAGTTGGGAAAGATCCCGGGAGCCACTGGCAGATGACACCAGCTCAGTCCTCAGTTTCCTCAGCAGCAACAACAGCTTATAGCAATAGTCTCCAGCAGCAGTAGTGGCATCCTGGGGATGGGGGGGCGGGACTGTGTATCAGAGCCACTCGTCCTTTATACTCAAGACCAATAACCCAGGACACCTGGGTGCGAGTCAGACAACCCAGGAACACATGGGTGTCCACGTGTATCTACATCAGACGACAACCAAGGAACACGTGGGCACATGTGCATATTTATATCAAATGCTCAGCAAGACTCTGAACAGCTGAGGGGCCCTGACCATTTTCCTATATTTTCCCTATGCTCCCGATGGGAGGAACTTCAGAGTCACACTGCAAAGGTGTGCTTCTCAGCAGTCATTGACTCAGACCATCTTGGACAATCCATGTACCACAGTGCCTCAGGGAAGAACCTTGAGAAGGTAGTTTTTTGTGGTAGGACATGTCACCCTCTCTCTTTCGTATCAACCTATGAGAGGATTGCTTTCACTTATAACATCAGGACTTAAGGTCCCACTATGATGGGAAAGGGAAAGGGAATTTGAGTGAAAGGGGTCATAGAAGTAGTCTAAGCTAGGTAGAATCCCAAATCTTTAATTCATCCTCTCCCAGGAACAAAGGGAACTTTGAGGAAAGAGGACCCCAAACTGATTGCCTTGGCTTTCTCTGGCTTCTAAATACCGTTGGTTCTAAGAAACCACAAAATATGAGGTGCCTGTTCCCTGTTTGCATTGGTGATACAGACATAGGCTCCAGGGACAGGCTTCACTGCGTGGAGCCAGACCTACCTGGAAGCAGAATCTTTGAGCTGGGATGTGGCATCCAGGAGAGCAGGAGGCATTCTGGCAGACACGTCATGACGTCCTGGTGTGCACCTAGCAACAGCTTTCTCCTGTGAGCAGTCCTTCCGAGCCAGAGCATTGGCAGCACAGCAGTTGTGGAATAGGAGTGTCGTTGGGTCCCACCTGCCCAGGGTCACAGTGTGCCCTCCCTTTAGTGAGGACCTAACTTTCTAAAGCTCAGAGCTGGGCCTGTGAATTTTCTTATTGAGAGATGGAGTTGGACAGCACCTTAGAGTTGGAGGTGACCACAGATCTGGTTAGACCTGAGGTTCTGATGCCTCCCTTCCCCGTTTCTACCCATTAGCCCTGGTGTTTGCTTTGAAGCTACATAGAATAGCTCTGATCTTTGTCAGTCACATCAATCGGTTATTTTAATGTATTTGAAGATACTGACTATTGTCTCCTTTAAATATTCTCTTTTCCAGTCCATGGACGTCCCAGGGGTCTGTCCTTTATGTAGGATGATAACTTTATATTTGTAGAGTGCCTGGTTTGCAAAGCTCTTTGCAGAACAGTTTATACACACTGTCTGGAGTGACCTCATCTGATGCTCCTCCCTCTGGGGGCACTGCAGGAATTATTGTCCTTACACAGATGAGGAGGAGCCACAGCCAGTGGTGATGAAGTAACCTATGCAGAGCAGCTCAGCTAGAGAAGCCGGAGCATCAACCTGCCTTCCTGGTGCCATGTTCTCTCTACTAGAGCATCCTTCTGCCTCTGACTTCCAGGCCTGTTTATCCTCTCCTGGACCCTCTTTACCCCCCATCCACGCTGCCCCACAATGCTTCTGTTGTGATTGGGTTCCTGGTCCTGTGTTATCTGACGTGCAGAGTGTGCAAAGATTCTCTCACACCCACATGTTCACTCGGTCTCTGATAGAACAGTCTGAAATGCTCTCGTTTTCTTCAGGCGCCACTTGCCACCTTGGCACATAGCACTTAGGGCCTGCTACTTCACAAGGACTGTAGAGACTAAAGTTCAGACATGGCTTGCGAAGCATTTAGCACATGACCCCAGTAATGTTTGCTCTTATTTTATTATAAACATCACTGAACGTTTCTATGCACTGCCGTCAAGCCAGGTCATGGGGCATATCTTGCACAGAGCAGGAGTTAGACTCTAAATTCCCTCTTCCCTGCATCATTGAATGTTAGTCTTGGAAAAGAATGTGGAGGTCATTTCATCCAGCTTCCTTGTCTTTCGGGTGAGGACACTGAGACCCAAAGGTCTTAAACAAATTTTTAGAAGACATATAGCAAGTTAGTAATACTCGTATAATTAAGTCATGAAACTGGCATATGGGGCTATATTCCAGTTCTTAGTGAATGAGAGGGAAAGAGGGAAGGAGGTCTCTTTAGATTGTTTTTTTGTTCATTTGCTTGTTTTGGTAAATCGGGAGAGCAGATCCAAGGTTCTAAACAAGTGTGTCAGCTCACCAACACTGGATGAGTGTGGCCTGTGACCTCACATTATTTGTAAAGACTGTGCTGAGGATACTGTATTGTGTATTCTTAATGCAGTTTGGGAAAAATTCAACCTGGGGTGGAAGCCTGGGGAATGATGTCCACACGTGAAGCCAGGTCCTTAAAAGCAGGGGCCCCATCTTTGCCGGCAGAGAATGGGTGTCTGGTAGGTGCTTTCTGAGAGCGCACATGTGCAGGGAGGTGGGTCACTGGGTTCCTTTCCTCTCCCTCTCCTGCCCGCTCCCTCTGTCTCCCCTTTTCTCCTGCCACAGGGAAGGCTAAGCACTTCGGCCTTTTTAAAAGGAGAAAAGCATCTCAGAATCTCTCACAGCCTCTGGGTGTGCAAGAGTCTCACTGAGGCCCCACCCCTGGGGACTTTGTTTTTGGAGACAGTCCCTAACCAGGAGCCAGTCTGCATCCTCTCCTGCCTCTCCTAACTGTCTGGCTTTTGTGTGTGTGAAGGAACAACCCTGGGCACGTGTGCAGCCGGGTCTGATGAGCCTGGACCAGAGGGCCTGACCTCCACCTCCCTGCTGGAACTCCTGCCACCCACTGGCCTGGAGCCGCTGGACTCTGAGGAGCCCAGTGAGGCCATGGGCCTGGGAGCTGGCCTGGGAGCCCCCGGCTCGGGCTTCCCCAGTGAAGAGGGTGAGGACTCCCGGATCCTGCAGCCACCACAGTACTTCTGGGAAGAGGAGGAGGAGTTGAATGACTCAAGTCTGGACCTGGGGCCTACTGCAGGTAGTATCCCTACCCAAACTGCGCGTGTGCACTGCCAGCTGTGCGTGAGGCAGTCTATGCACAATGCCAAGTGGCCACTGCCAGGCCCGGGATCACCTCTTCTCTGTCCCCACCAGTTTTCACATGCTGCCGTCCACTTTACCTCAAAGCCAAGTCTGGGTCTCTGAGGGTCTTCCTGGGCCAGAAGCCCCTTTTCTCTTTAACATTAATCACTATTTAGTGATCCCTTATTCTGTGATCATTTAGTATAATGCTTATAAGTGAGCAATAAGTAATATTATCCCCATTTTAGACATGAGAAAACCGAGGTTTAGGGAGGTTAAAAGCTTGCCCGAGGTCATATGACTGCTCAGATGTTCAGTCACAATTCAAACCTGGGTTTTCCAACTGCTCTACACTGTCCGTTGAAGGTTCCCACGAGGATGGCTGATCTGCGTTCTCCTGGGGTCTGTCTGACCCCCCAGTCAAGGTGTTCTAATTGCCCTTCCCTCTGTCATGCACCAGCACTGGTGTCTGGTCTGCACAGCATGGCTGACGAACATTTGGGTCGCAGGCAAGCCTGAGTCTGGGGCTCAGAGCTGGAATGCACACAGCTTGGAGCCAGTGACAGATGTGACAGAGTGTGTTCACAGTACTTCTAGCCACAGCAGCTGTGTAAATGCTCGTGGCTAGCAGGGGCCCACGTCCAAATGTTGAGCTGAGGAATTGGGGCAGGGGATTGCAGAACTTGGCCGTAATTTTTCTTTTTCTTTTTTCTTTTATTTATTTATTTTTTTTTTCTGAGACCGGCCACACCGCGCTCAGCCAGTGAGCGCAGCGGCCATCCCTATATAGGATCCGAACCCGCAGCGGGAGCGCTGCTGCGCACCCAGCACCACACTCTCCCGAGTGCGCCATGGGCTCGGCCCTAATTTTTCTTTTTAAATATATAATACTTACTGGATTTATTTTCTCTTATTACGGCGCAGCGGCCATCCCTATATAGGATCCGAACCCGCAGCGGGAGCGCTGCTGCGCACCCAGCGCCACACTCTCCCGAGTGCGCCATGGGCTCGGCCCTAATTTTTCTTTTTAAATATATAATACTTACTGGATTTATTTTCTCTTATTACAAAAAGAACATGTGAACATTGTAGAAAATCTAAAAAATACAAAAGCAATACAAAGAAGAAAGTAAAAACTACCCATAATGTGACAAATGAACGATAACTTCTACTAATAGTTTGGGGTACATCCTTCTAATTACTTTCATAAGCAAAACTGAGATTGTAGGGGACATTTTTGTTTTCACTCAAAATATTTTATGAATGTATTTCCACATCATTAAATATCCTTTTATAATTTGACTCTTAATGACTATATAGTATTTCGTCACGTAGGTCATCCGATGTATTAAACCAGCTCCCTGTTGTTGAACACTTAGGTTGTTTCTAGTTTTAATGTAGCTTATATGTAAATATTAAATGTACAATATCCTTATACATTTTGGCACTTTCCTGGTTATTTTCTTAGGATAAATTTCTAGAACAAGATTGCTAAGTCATGTATCAGTCAGCATCCTACACAGAAACAGAAGAGACAATCAAACGAAGATATCCAAGGAGGGTTTATTTATAAAGCAACAGCTTTCCAAGGGTACGGATGAGATACAGAGGGCTAGTAGCTGCTGAGCACTGTCCACTCCTAGGCCCAGAGAAGCAAGGAAGGGCAGGGTGACAGGAGCCTGCAGGGAGAGTGTGGTGTAGAGCAGTGGTGCAGGCAGGAAGGAGGACAGGAGGAAGAGGAGAGCCTCCTCTGTCTCCTGCAGGGCTCCCCTCCCCCACCTCCTGCTGAGGAGCCCCAGGGAACAGGGCTTATTGATGTGGCTCACCTGGGGGCAGAGAGTAGGGTGGAGAGGGTAGAAGGGAGGTCTGGAGTGCAGATGGGGCATGTCTGCCACACGGGGTGGGAACCTTCCCACAGGCTCTGGGGAAATATTTCCAGAAAGATAGTGAGTGTGCATACCTCCCAGAGGCAGGGTGAAGGCTGGTTTTTGAACCCTTCCCAACACTGAATGTTGTCATTTAGAAACCTTTGTCAACTTGATAGGGGGAATTATAAAGGCATTTGATTACTAGTAAGTTTTAATATATATGTATCAGATACAGAGAATATATATGCTATAGAATAAGTATATTATATTTCTGAATATTCAGAATATGTATGTATTAGTCCATTTTGTGTTGCTGTAACAGAAATACCTGAGGCTGGGTAATTTATAAAGAACAGAGGTTTATTTGGCTTACGATTCTGGAACAGCTGCATCTGGCACGGGCCTCAGGCTGTTTCTACTCATGGCGGAAAGTGGCAGGGAGCCGGCAGATACAAGCAGATCACATGGCGAGAGGAAGCAAGAGAGAAAGAGGGGAGGTGCCAGGGTCTTTTAAACAACCAGCTCTCACAGGAACTAATAGAGCAAGGTCTCTCTCATTAATCCCCCCACCTAGGGAGAGCATTAATCCATTCATGAGGGATCCGCCCCCATGACTCAATCAGTTTCCAACACTGCCATATTGGAGATCAAATTTCCACATGAGTTCTAGGAGGACAAAACATCCAAACTCCATCAATGTATAATGAACATATATAATGAATATGCTTCAAATCAAAAAGAAGAACTATACATGGTCATTTTTTATATAAAAATTTTAATATTTATTTTATATCTAAAAAGTGACCACTTGTTCTTTTTGATTTGAAGCATAGTGTAATTAAGACAACAGGCTTTGGACTCAAAGCTCCATTGCTGTCATTTAACAGCAACATGATTTTGGCAAGTAACTCAGCCTAAGCCTCAGTTTTCTCATCTAGGAAATGGGAATTGTTCCTTCCTCACTGTGTGGCTTGAATGCAGTGACACGTTTCAGGTGCTTAGCATAGTTCTTGGCACATGGTGAGTGCTTTGTGAGCGTTAGCTATTATTATTATTACTTTCCAATTTTCTATTAGGCTTTAATTTTTTTCTTACCACTGTACAAATCTTCACATAAAAAGGATATTAACTTTTTTCTGACATCTATAGAAAACCCTTGAAAAAATTTGTCAACTGCTTTTATTACAGTAATTTTTGACATATATGCATTAAATATTTTTTAAGCTTAAAACTATCTTTCTTTTGAAATGTTTTGAAATGTTTTTATGTGTTTTTCTTTGCTTTATATTTAGAAAATTCTTTCCCTCCCTGAGATATACGCACCTTTATTCCTTCTATTCTTTTTTAGCTTATTTTTTTACATGTAACTCTAATCTAGCCGTAATTTATTTTGCTGTGTGGTGTAAGATATGGATCTAATTTCATTTTCCATATATAGGTAACCTGTTGTCCCAGCAGCATTCATTGATAAATCTATCCTCTCATCATTTAAAAGAAACGCCACATTTACCTCATACTAGACAATTCTATGTCTTGGGTCTTCTGGCCTTTTCCTCTTGAGAGTCTAGTGTAGGATAAATAGTCATTCAGAGAGCATAGGTCAAGGCTGGGACCTTGCTGAGGACCACCGTGGATAAATGCATTTATTGTTTGTATGTTTCTTTCTGCAGCTGGCCAGTACAGGGATCCGACTCCTGACCTTGGTGTTATAACATCGTGCTCTAACCAACTGAGCTTTACGCAGTTGAGTTTATCAGTCCTTTTTGTTACTGAAACTAGGTTTTGAGACATAGTTAGAAAGACTTAAAGTGGAGAGCCCTTAAGCTTTGATGAGCTGTACTTTGTTTCCCCTTCTCTCACCCTCCCTTCGTGTCTCTTCTGCCACCGGCTTCTCAGGTCTCATGACATTACAGCAGCAATTGGTCCCTGAGTGCTCCCGTCAGGGCACTTTGACTCCCAACCACTGCCTGCGAGTGGGCTGGCGCGTGGGGAGGCAGCCCAGAGACAGTATGGCACGTGCTCCCCGCTGTTCCTCCTCTCCTGCTCCCGTGCCCTGAGGGCCACAGGATACCTTCTAGGGGTCCTCTGGAGGGAAGGAGGGGGTCGCCCTTCTTGGGGGTTGCTCCTCAGGTCAGAGGGGACCAAAGGAGCCTGCAGAGGGCCTGCCTGGGTGAGGAGTCTGTGCAGAGCCGAGAGTGATCATGCCAAATGCCATCCTAACACGACCACTGCGACGATGATAGCTCCACGCAGCAGTAACAGCAACTGCTGAACTCCATGCTGCAGACCAGCTCAACCTCAGATTAAGTGCTCTTTTACTAATTAAGCCATCCATCCATATCCTGACTCCTAGTGTGTACCGGGCACTATGTCAGGCATTCCAGGTTCCTGTTTAATCTTCACTGAAAAAATGTAAGTCTGTATTCTTATTCCCAGTTGACCAACGAGATGTGTAAAGTTTGGATGACAGGACAGCTGTAAGTGTAGGAACCTGATTCAAACCCGAGCTGTTAGACTCTAAAGCCTTTGCTCTTTCTGTTACATGGCCTCTCAGCTCAGTGATCTTGCCAGAGACTAGCACCCATATCTTGTTTTGTCTGGTACTTAGCACCAGTTTTTCATGGACTTTTCTTTTGGATTAGCTCACTTGAACTTCACAATCACTCTGTGAGGTCAGCGAGGCAGCAGTTGTTATCTTTGCCTGACATGTGGTGAGAGAGGCCGGGAATGTTAAGAGGCTCTGTCCAGGGTCATACAGCTTGTGTGCAGCAGAGCCAAGTCTGGAACCAGCAGCTCCTGAGTTGCGATGTCTCTGGGCTGGGCTTCTTGCCATGGAGCCATGTATGAGAGAGGAAACCAGTCTATTTTACTGTCACCAGGACTTTGTCATATGCCTCATCTCTAGTTTGTTGGGCCTAAAGGAAATAGAGTTAAGGCCTCCTGCTCCTTCTGTATGACGACCCCTTGGGTCCAGTGGGAAAAACAGCAGGTGGGGTTTCTGCTTGGCTGATGACAAGTGGTGTGACCATGCGGGGGTGACTTTTCTAGTCCTGGCTTCACTCTTCATCTGTAAGATGTGACTATGGGA